TTCTGGAAATTTAGAAGTCCCAAAATCCTTAAAATGTAGCTATCAAAAGCAAATGTATGTGGCATTTTTAACGTAAATAGAACACTTTTCAAATGTAACATTTCATAAAAGCTTAATTTCAAGTGATAAAGCAAGGAGTAACAGAACTAATATGCCTAACTATATTTCAGGATTTTGTGTTTTCAAATGATGCATCTATAACATAGAGCCGTGTAAATATGACTTTCAAATAAAAAATCCATTCCATTCTGTATTTTGCTGTGTGTTATTCACATTTTCATTAACAAGCCAGTTTTTAAACACAGTAAGAGTGTTTGTAATATTAATAATGTATAACATGGTTTTATACACTGACAATTCACCAACATTTTGGATATTGTTCCAAATATATATATATATATATATATCTGTACACCTGTGGTTACTCTACACAAACAGCAAGTTAAATTTGAGGAGAACTGACCTCACACATCCACTAAATATCATCAAAAACCGATTTTTGATTAAGTGTAACTGGAAAAAAAAAAAGCTCAAAACTTATCTTAGTTCTGAGCACTATTTGTTAGCAAATTTGTAAAAAAAAAAAAAAAATTCCAAAAAAAATTTGCTTTTATATTTTGTGTAAACCAATGAGATTCAGAAATTGAGAAAAGGTTTTTGAAGGGCAGACTCACTGAATTATGTCCTGTTTTAACATAAAAGCTTTAGAACAAGTGAGAGAACTAAAATTAGTAAGCATGCAGTGCCAGATTAATATGGTTTAATTCACATCTTTTTCTGGAGCAATAATTAGGGGCTGTTTTTTTAACTGGACGATCAATAGTTTGACTTAAACTGTGCAAAGTTATAGAAGTCACAATGAATCAAGTCATAAAGAAGACAAAAGTTCATTTTTTAGGTGAGTGCCATAGGTGGGTTGTTCAGGATATTACATTATCCACTGTTTTATGGGATTATTTCTGTGTACAATAATGTAGCTGTCAAGAAAGTGGAGAAAATATTTTTACTAATAACAGATACTAACATGCAGTAAGGTCAGGAACTTTTTTTTTTTTTCTTGCCAAGTAAGGATTAAGTATTCACCGCTGAGTGATGAGTATTTAATATTTATGTTTTAGACGGTACATATCATATTGTATAAACAAACCAAGGTCCAATAGACAATTCCCCACAAAATGATTGAAAAAAAGACATCTCGAACCAAACCACTGCAGACTTAAGCTTATAAATCAGTTTTGACAGCAGTTCACGATAAGATCTCAGGCTGAAGCATCACCTGTAAGTCAGGACTCTAGTATTCAGAGCTTCAGGCAAACCTACACGCAGCATCCAGGTGCAGCGGCCCAGGGAAAAACTCCACACGGCAGGATGTGCCTCTCACTGCTGGACACAGCAGCCTGGGAAAATGTCATGAACTGATTGTAAATGGTACACATGAACACACTGTAAATGGTACTGTAATCCATTTTCAAGTGCTTCTTTACCATTCAATCATTGATCATACTTCAGCAGCTTTTGTGAATCTGTACTCAAAACTTCATTTTTAAAAGCATACAGGCTCCAAGATAAATTTATGGGATTATTTTCACCCATTTACTGCTGAACAGGAATAAATTCAAGATGCTTCAAAAAGTAAAACTGTATAATTTAAGGTGTCATTCATGTCCACACGGTGTGGTAGAAATTATGAGCTTAAGTGTAATACTTACAATATCATAAAAGTAATATGAAATATTATTACAATTTTTTTTTGCTTTTAAATATATTTTAAAATTGTATTTATTCCTGTTGGCAAAGCTGAATTTTCAGCAGCCATTACTCCAGTCTCACTAATATACTTATACTTATTTGACTTGGGTGTTTTTGTTTTTTTTTGACATTTTTTATTGAAAAGTTAATACCTTTGTTTACACTATGGTAAATTTTTCGGGATATTTTGATGAATATAAGGCTAAAAAAACAGCATTTATTTGAAATATAATTTTTTGTAACATTTATATATTTACTTTGATGAATTTAATGCATCCTGACTGAGTAAAAGTATTAATTTGAGGAGAACTGACCTCACACATCCACTAAATATCATCAAAAACCGATTTTTGATTAAGTGTAACTGGAAAAAAAAAAAGCTCAAAAATTATCTTAGTTCTGAGCACTATTTGTTAGCAAATTTGTAAAAAAAAAATTTAAAAAAATTCCAAAAAAAATTTGCTTTTATATTTTGTGTAAACCAATGAGATTCAGAAATTGAGAAAAGGTTTTTGAAGGGCAGACTCACTGAATTATGTCCTGTTTAACATAAAACCTTTAGAACAAGTGAGAGAACTAAAATTAGTAAGCATGCAGTGCCAGATTAATATGGTTTAATTCACATCTTTTTCTGGAGCAATAATTAGGGGCTGTTTTTTTAACTGGACGATCAATAGTTTGACTTAAACTGTGCAAAGTTATAGAAGTCACAATGAATCAAGTCATAAAGAAGACAAAAGTTCATTTTTTAGGTGAGTGCCATAGGTGGGTTGTTCAGGATATTACATTATCCATTGTTTTATGGGATTATTTCTGTGTACAATAATGTAGCTGTCAAGAAAGTGGAGAAAATATTTTTACTAATAACGGATACTAACATGCAGTAAGGTCAGGAACGTTTTTTTTTTCTTGCCAAGTAAGGATTAAGTATTCACCGCTGAGTGATGAGTATTTAATATTTATGTTTTAGACGGTACATATCATATTGTATAAACAAACCAAGGTCCAATAGACAATTCCCCACAAAATGATTGAAAAAAAGACATCTCGAACATGACCAAACCACTGCAGACTTGAGCTTATAAATCACAGTTTTGACAGCAGTTCACGATAAGATCTCAGGCTGAAGCATCACCTGTAAGTCAGGACTCTAGTATTCAGAGCTTCAGGCAAACCTACACGCAGCATCCAGGTGCAGCGGCCCAGGGAAAAACTCCACACGGCAGGATGTGCCTCTCACTGCTGGACACAGCAGCCTGGGAAAATGTCATGAACTGATTGTAAATGGTACACATGAACACACTGTAAATGGTACTGTAATCCATTTTCAAGTGCTTCTTTACCATTCAATCATTGATCATACTTCAGCAGCTTTTGTGAATCTGTACTCAAAACTTCATTTTTAAAAGCATACAGGCTCCAAGATAAATTTATGGGATTATTTTCACCCATTTACTGCTGAACAGGAATAAATTCAAGATGCTTCAAAAAGTAAAACTGTATAATTTAAGGTGTCATTCATGTCCACACGGTGTGGTAGAAATTATGAGCTTAAGTGTGATACTTACAATATCATAAAAGTAATATTATGAAATATTATTACAATTTTTTTTGCTTTTAAATATATTTTAAAATTGTATTTATTCCTGTTGGCAAAGCTGAATTTTCAGCAGCCATTACTCCAGTCTCACTAATATACTTATACTTATTTGATTGGGTGTTTTGTTTTTTTTTTTGACATTTTTTATTGAAAAGTTAATACCTTTGTTTACACTATGGTAAATTTTTCGGGATATTTTGATGAATATAAGGCTAAAAAAACAGCATTTATTTGAAATATAATTTTTTGTAACATTTATATATTTACTTTGATGAATTTAATACATCCTGAGTAAAAGTATTAATTTCTTTAAAAAAAAAAAAAGTTAAAATCTTTAAAAAAAACTGACCCCAAACTTTTGAGCAGTGTATATTTTATCTGAGCAATCTGAGCAATAAACATCATGATGATTGCCTAATCAAACAGTGGTAAAATTAATAAATCTAATCTAACCCTTATAACCCTTATTAACAATTGATATAACTTAACGAAGCAGATTCCATCAGTTTACATTTGTTTTTATCCAGCTTTGTATTAAAACACATTAAAAGAAATGAATAAATATGATACCAGTGGATCACAATAACCCAAACTGATACACAGTGTTAGATTTTCACCGTTCCACTGAATATTTAAGTGATTTCCTGAGACTGTCCTCTCAGGTCAAGTCCTGAGATAACCCTTTTGTCCATATATACTTTTAAAACAAATTAAATCTAGATTTTTTTTTTTTTTTACCATGGTAAACCCCATTCAGAAAGCCTATTCTAATTTTTCAAAACATACATTTCTGTAATTTTCAAAAACATCAAATCAGTTTAAACAAAAAGGAATGGTTTAAAATGTCTTTTAGTACGAGGGGTCAGCGGAGCCCACGGTGGAGGGCAGGGGTGTGAAGTGACAGTCAGCACATCTGGTCACATTAATAATGCAGAGAGCTTTAAACGGCAGTTTGTCACTTATTGAGTGCTGCCTGCTGAAATCTACACTGACACCCAAGCTGCTGCCAAGGGACTCTACCAAATGAGAGTCAGATGAAGGGAGGGGGACAGAGAGGATGAGAGGGGCAGCAGACAGTGAGAGGGGAGGAAAGAGGACAAACAGCAACGTGAAACTTTTGTCTGAGGAGCACTCTTTCTGCTTTGTCTGTTAATGGTTAATTTCTGATAGAATCATACAATAGATTTAGAGGTTTGAATATCCAAACGTTTATTTAGAAAAAAAGCACATTTTTGTACAACTTAAACAAAAAAGGTTCAAATGGCATCTTCTTTGTATCTTTTCAAATGATGCTAAAGATTTCCCATCAAAATACAATTGTTGCAGCACAAGGCAAACTGCACTGTTCCTTGAGTGCAAAAGACTTAAGGCCCGTTCACACCAAGGACGATAACTATAAAGCTAACGATAAAGATATAGTGCTAAAAATCGTTCTCAATATTAAAGAATAGCAGAGTCCACACCACAACTAGAACGATAAAGACAAGGAGAAAAGATATCGTTGGAATCACTTTCAAAACGATTTTTCTCCAGCTGATTAACGATAAAAAAAAATTGACAGCCAATCAGAATCCATCCCGCTGTAACGAGCTAGAGAATTTAAAGCGGCAGACGAGCGTGCGCTTAGAATAAACAGACGATATCGTCCGCTGGTGTGGACGCTAATATCGTTATCTTTATAGTTATCGTTCTTGGTGTGAACGGGGCTTTAATCTGCTCAAAGGTCTAATTAACACTTTAACACGGGCCGGTAAGTCAATGAGAGTTGAGCTCACAGGTGAGCTGGTGTATGAGTGTCCAGGAGATCGCCTGTACTTGAACAGATGTGTTACACGTCAGGTTTATTTCCCGGTGATGAGTGGGTTTCTCAGCACCACGATGACTGAATCGCCTCTCAGGAACATCTTTGAGATGTACCGATCCTTGTTGACTGGCTTTGACTTCTTCTTGCCCTTGCCACTTTTGGGCACCTCCGTCCACATTTCTTTCACATTCTCTAGAACCATGTTACAATGCCTGAAAATCCAGAGAAAAGAGACCGTGAAGATCTAAATTATGAAAACCTCTTTTTTTGTTTACCACTTGTATCTAAATATGACGTGACCCAATTCATTTCAGTTCAAGCAAAATGAAAAGCATGTGTGTCTTTTCATTCTGACTGAGATAAATCTGAATTGATTTCCTATCTGTCAGAAAGAGGTGATGCAGATCATAAATCTATTAAATAGAAGAATAATTGCAGCATAAAGCTTCGAATCAGACTACCTGCACAATCAGCTTCGTAAAAAAAAAAGTGTGTATGTGACATTTCAGTCCTGTGCTGCGACCGCACATGCTTAGGGGTAAAAAAAAAACATCAGAAAATAATGTATGATATATGCAAGCATCAGTATAATGTTCGAAAACATCCCGACACCACCCATGCGGCTGAGAACGGCGTTTGGCTGAACATGTAAATATGTGCCGCACGTTTTTACTCTCAACAACAAAATAAACACAACAAAAATGACAGCGGTGAGAAAACAGCAGTTCAGAAAGCATCTGATCACAGATGTGAACATGTTTCCACTAGCTCTGCAATAGGATCTTTGTAATTCAATTGTTTTAAAGCAAACAGCCTTACAGTATTAAACATGAAAAACAGTTTCATTTCAGCTTTCATTTATTATTACAACTTCAATTTCAACTATAAAGCGGCTCCAGTGTATTTATGTCTTATGCCGAGTTCACACTGCACGATTTTCAAAGACGTCGCATCACTGTTGGTTTCACACTGAACGACTATCTGGGGTAGCATTCAGTTGTTGCTGTGTTCACACTGCACGATGGAACGACGACAGGAGGTTACACACTGCATGACTACAGTCTACAATAGGAAGAATCGCCGACAGCTCTGTCTTTCTGTCAATATGGGGTGCTGTGTGTACATTAATGAGGAAAAAAAATTAACTTAAATGATTTTAGCAAATGGCTGCAATATAACAAAGAGTGAAAAATTTAAGGGGGTCTGAATACTTTCCGTACCCACTGTATATGGTAATAACCTATATGGGTAAAATACCATTTTTTTGGGCGGGGTTCTCCTGGTACAATTCACATTCCAGGGCCTGAATATCACGTTATTGGGGTCGCTTCAACCTGCTGACATAAAAAACAACCGCAGGCAATCGCGGATTTGCCAACACTGATCCGCAAACTACGTTTCATATAACTCCTCCCCGAACTTCCCGCTGCCCTGTATCTTGGTCTCTCATTGGCTGTAGGTCATCGCCGATGTGTTTTTCAGTCAGAACTCATTGCACACAGCGTGATTGTGAATCGCCGACAGCTCCAGATATTTAACATGCCAAATATTTCGTGGGCGTCGGCGACGCATCAGCGATTCCCTCAGATCACGTCTTTGATAATTCACACTGCGTGATTGTCACTCGCGTGAACGAGCACCGATTTGCCTCCGATGTCGGGCATTTGTCAACGATTTCGCAAAACCTGTCGGCGAGTGAAAAATCGGGGCTAAAATCGTGCAGTGTGAACTCGGCATTACTCGCCTCTGACTTAGAGAGACTGAACAAATGAAATGAACCAGAGAAGATCTTCACGTCAAAGGCAGAGCCCCAGAGCACACCTACTTATTATGTAATCGCCATTGACCAATGATAGTTTGAAGGTGCTTACCAGTAGGGCTGGGCAAATTTTAAAAATAAAATTTATAACATTTTATAGGGCCCTATTATTGTTTAAAAAAGGACCCATACAAAAAAAAAAGTATAGGTTTAAAATACAGACATGTGGTTCTTTATTTCTTTTAATTAATTCACTATTTGTAAACTGATGTTTACTGTTCATTTTTTAGAAATATCAATAGCATTTGTATTAAAACTATATTCACTGAATGTAATCAAAAAATCGAGAATCGAATGGAGAGCATGCGAATCGAAATCGAATCGGGACATCTGAATCGATACCCAGCCCTATTTACCAGCCGAAGCTTTGCAAGCCGTTTTGAACTCCTGAAACAAACTCCAGATGAACATCATTTTGATCAGATTTTTGTTCAAAATGCCATTACACTAGTTCGATCTTTGATCACTTTAAATATAATGTTGCACCAAAGACTTTTGAACTAAAATTTACTCCAAACACAAATTTATTGTAATTTTAAATCTTTACCAAACATTGCCACTATTCTTCAAACCACTAGGTTTTACACATTCGTCGGCAAGACAAAAATTGAAATATAATAAAATTTAGAATGATCACTATTTTTTTTATATATTTTAGTAAGTACAGGTCAGAATAAGTATGTTAGTATGTAATATGTATGTAATAAGCAAAGCACGTTTTTTTACATAAATATATCTGTTATGTAAAAATCTGTCTGTCCAAAACGGGACATCTCGTCTTTGACCCATACACGTATTTAATCTTATACACTATATACTTTATTATACAGGTAAAAAGTAAGAAAAAACTGTTATAGCTCAAGCTGCAAGTTTCTCTGTACAACAACGCAGATACACATATATACAGCTGGCTAATAAGAGGTCTGGATAAAAAGTGTTTATTGTGTTTGAACTGATTTTGAGGATGGCACATATGGCGTTTCGCAGGGATCTTGCTGCACATATCTCAGACGAGAGTATGTCATATGTTTGCTAAAAATGATGCTAAAAGTAAAAGGCTGTAAAGTAAAGATATGGAACACCCTTACATGAAGATGGTTTGGGCATGCACACGGTGTTCGTTTAGAACACTCATTAACATTAGAACAAGGCTAAGAACAAATTTGTGTGTGTTAGGCTGAAGATTTCTCCTGTGCATACAAATATGAAATAATCCACACAATTATTAGTAAATAAGACCCACTGTCTTGGCATAAAAGCTTTTTGTGTTCTAATATTTGTATCGGATGCGATCGGCTCAACAGAAATCTGTGAAAGTAAATAAAAACAGTGTGTAGTCACTGAGAACATTATAGTTCATAAATCAAACACATCAGGTACCTGTCGAATGCTTTGACTCTGCCCAATAGCTTCTTATTGTTGCGGCAGTTGATAAGAACCTGTGTGTTGTTCTTTACAGACTGGGTGAGTACTGAAAGTGGACCGGTGTTAAACTCTTCCTCCTCTCGCTTTTGGAGCTCCTCTGGAGTCATCTCAGATTTGGGCTTGTTTAACAAACTCCTAATAAGGACAATAAGGAATTTCAGGAGTTAGAATGTCTGGATGAAGAGCTGAGATAAATATCAGTTTACAGTACATAACATATACACTGCCGTTCAAAAGTTTGGGATCAGTAAGATTTGTAATGTCTTTTTAAGAAGTCTCTTCTGCTCATCATGGCTGCATTTATTTGATCAGAAATACAGAAGGAAAAAAAAAACAGTAATATGAAATATTATTGCAATTTAAAATAATGGTTTTCTATTTTAATATACTTTAAAATGGCTTTTTGATTTTTGGTTGCACCTCCTCTCAGTAATTTTAATATATTTTAAAATGTAATTTATTTCTGTGAGTCAAAGCTGAATTTTTAGTATCATTACTCCAGTCTTCAGTGTCACATGATCCTTCAGAAATCATTGTAATATGCTGATTTAATATCAATATTGGAAACAGTTTTGCCACTTAATTATTATTTTTTTTAGGATTCTTTAATGAATAAAAAGTTAAAAAGAACAGCGTTTATTCAAAATAGAAATCTTTTGTAACGATATACACTACCGTTCAAAAGTTTGGGGTCAGTATTTTTTTTTAAAGAAATGAATGCTTTTATTCAGCAAGGATGAGTTAAATTGATAAAAAGTGATAATAAAGACTTATATTTGCAAGTAAAGACTTCTATTTTAAATAAACACTGCCCCTTTTAACTTTATTCATCAAATAATCCCAAAAAAGTATCACAGCTTCCAAAAAAAATATTAAGCAGCACAACTGTTTTCATCACTGATAATAAATCAGCATATTAGAATAATTTCTGAAGGATCGTGACACTGAAGACTGGAGTAACGATGCTGAAAATTCAGCTTTGACGCACAGAAATAAAATATATTTTAAAGTATATTAAAATAGAAAACCATTATTTTAAATGGTAATAATATTTTACAATATTAAATTTTTTTCTGTATTTTTGGTCAAATAAATGCGATCTTGATGAGCAGAAAATAATTCTTTAAAAAAAAAAAAACATTACAAATCTTACTGATCTCAAACTTTTGAACAGCAGTGTATACAGGTACTAGTTGGAAAATATTTAGCATTCAGTGATTTATATGAAGAATATATGTCAGAAATACCACAAATCTTAAAGCTTTGTTTCATGTTTGAGAAACAGCGATAAACATTAAACAATACAGCAAGTTATTAACAGTATAACGATTCAGAAATAAAGTGCACAGAAAGAAACAATGAGAAACACACCCAATAACCAATCAATTGGACAAACGAAAACAACGCTTACAAAACAAACACAAAAAGATTATATTTGCATTTCGCTTAGAGAGGAGAATCCTAATAACCAGTACAACAGAAGGTTCATTGTAGCTGCTAACATTAGCATTAGTCTTGCTAAATGACTTCTTCAGCGGTCATCAAACTACGAACTGACTATTTCAGTCCCAGCGGTATCGCTCCAACAGTTTTAATGATATACTGTGCACAGAACAGTGAACTTACATGTTTTATTAGGTTTCGGCTTCTTAACTCTTTTCAGTGAATTGAAATGTGAGCAGCTCCACACTATCGCCTCACGTTTCCACAACGTTAAAGTCACTTCCGGGTCTGCGCCGACTTACTCAGTTGAACGTTCCGGTTCCGGTTTTCTCCCGCAATGTAAATTTTTTTTTCTTTTTTCGCAATGTAAATTTATAAACTTGTTTTTAGGTTTTATTAGAACTTTATTAGGTAAATTGTAATTGATTATAATTTAATTTTAAACTAAATCAAGAATTTGGTATACAGAAATATAAAATACAATTTTTACAACAGCAACAATAACAATAGTTCAATAATGTCATCATTATAATAAGGTAATTTTATTTTTCGTACATATACTATTTAATGGCAGGTTGCCATTGGGGCAGATTCCCAGACCAGATATAGTCTGTCCCACTATAAGTTAACATGTGTTCTATATTTCAAATAGGCCTATAAATATAAACATATATATATATATACATAAAACTGTAGCTAATAACACATTTATTTAACTATTTAAAATATGGTCAATACATGTAATATATGTATTGTATTTTTTCCAAAGTTTTTAAGTGGAGGATGGATGCATTTTTTTCAGTCCTGGTACCAATAGGCCTACTCATGTGTCTTTTAAAATGCATGTTTAAAAATATTTCAACAAATTCCTTTGTTTTTCCCCTCAATGAGGTGTTTCCACAACGTTAAAGTCACTTCCGGGTCTGCGCCGACTTACTCAGTTGAACGTTCCGGTTCCGGTTTTCTCCCGCAATGTAAATTTTTTTTTCTTTTTTCGCAATGTAAATTTATAAACTTGTTTTTAGGTTTTATTAGAACTTTATTAGGTAAATTGTAATTGATTATAATTTAATTTTAAACTAAATCAAGAATTTGGTATACAGAAATATAAAATACAATTTTTACAACAGCAACAATAACAATAGTTCAATAATGTCATCATTATAATAAGGTAATTTTATTTTTCGTACATATACTATTTAATGGCAGGTTGCCATTGGGGCAGATTCCCAGACCAGATATAGTCTGTCCCACTATAAGTTAACATGTGTTCTATATTTCAAATAGGCCTATAAATATAAACATATATATATATATACATAAAACTGTAGCTAATAACACATTTATTTAACTATTTAAAATATGGTCAATACATGTAATATATGTATTGTATTTTTTCCAAAGTTTTTAAGTGGAGGATGGATGCATTTTTTTCAGTCCTGGTACCAATAGGCCTACTCATGTGTCTTTTAAAATGCATGTTTAAAAATATTTCAACAAATTCCTTTGTTTTTCCCCTCAATGAGGTGTTTTTTTTTTTTTTATTAATATTTAGTTTCATGTTCTGTGCAGGTGAGTGACTTACAGACCCTCCCTGACACACACACACACACACACACATATATATATAAAGATGTGTGTGTGTGTATATTTACATATGAAAAATGTTTTTTTTTATTGGTCTTATGAAGTATTCTAATTTGTTGAGATAGTGAATTGGTGGGTTTTTGTTAAATGTGAGCCAAAATCATCACAATTAAAAGAACCAAAGACTTAAACTACTTCAGTCTGTGTGCATTGAATTTATTTAATACACGAGTTTCACAATTTGAGTTGAATATATATATATATATATATATAAAGATGCTTGGTGGAAGTCGAGAGAGAATATGTGTGTGTGTGTGTGTGTGTGTGTTCTAGTAATCTGCCTCTTAGAATTATTCATGTATAGATAACAGAAGAATGTGTCTGGCCTCTTAGTCGTGGTGTGGGGTAATATTCATTGGGCAGGGGTCAGGTGTGTAGACCAAACAGACATCTCTTTGTTATGTGTCATGACTGACAGGGAAGACGGCTGTATGATGGGGAGAGTTTGAGAGACAGACAAAGATGTGTGTCTGTACAGCGCTTAGACTCCAGGGGATTGGCTTACTGCTTAGAGACAGGCGGGCGCCCGCGAGGCACTATCCCACCCATGTGATTTCACAGGGTGGTGAGTTTGCTCGGGATAATCACACCCTATAGTGTGGAGATTTGAGGATCATGTCTGTGGAATTGGTTTACAAAGCCTAACTATCGTTAAGAAATGCACCCCGAGTCTTTCAGGTACATCGGCTTATGTTTTCACCTCTCCAGATCACTTCCTTCCTCCCAGACATGGTTTCTCTCTCAACTTCCACCAAGCATCTTTAGAGTCTTTACAAGCGCTCTTTACAAACAGAAACCAGAGCATGGAATCTAACCATGATCAAAGTTGTTCAAGGAGTGCGGCTTTGCTTAAAACCTCCTTCAGTCTGTGTGTGGGTTTATTTAACTATAGTTTGGGGACAATACGCCCCAAGAAATTAATAAAATTTGACAAGACCTCCATTTTGGGATGTCTAAGGACATCCTCAATTGGGGAAATTTTCCATAAACAATATACTAAAGAAGTCTCTTATGCTCACCAATGCTGCATTCATTTAATAAAAAAAAAAAAAAGAAGTAATTTTTCGAGAAAAAAAAACAAAACTATATATATATATATTCCTATGATGCAAAGCAAAATTTTTCTGTAGTCTTCAGTATCACATGATCCTTTAGAAATCATTCTGATATGCTGATTTGGCGCTCAATTATTACCATACTAGTGCTTAATTATTAATAATGGTTGTTATTATTATTATTATCAATGCTAAAAACTGTGTTTGCTGCTTAATATTTTTGTGGAAACTGTGATACATTTTTGAGGATACTTTTATGAATAGAAAGAAGAACAGCATTTTAACATTATAAATATATTTACTCTCAGAGCCATGTAATGCTGAATAGAAATTAATTTCTTTCTTTCAACATTGATAATAATAAGAAATGTTTCTCGAGGATCAAATCAACGTATTGGAATGATTTCTGAAGTAATAATGCTGAAAATTCAGCTTTGCCATCACAGCAATAAATTACGTTTTAAAATCTATTAAAATATAATACATTTCCTTTAGTTGTAATAATTATATTGCAATTATTACAAAATTTCTGTTTTTACTATATTTTTGATCAAATAAAAGCATCCTTATGAGAGACTTCTTTCAAAAACATTTTAAAATGTTTTAATTATTTAACTTTTGACCGGTATATACTGTATTTAACATTCTAAAAATATCCTCACAACTAGATATTTGTGGACGTCCTCAATTAGCCAAAATGATTAATAAATAATAATAGGAAGAATATATTTTAACTACGCAAAAATTCTTAAACAATCGTAAGTTTGTAGTCATTACAATTAGCATTAATTATAATAAGAATAGTTAATTAATTATAGCATAAAATATTACCGGTATGTCCATTTAGATATAGTTGTTATTTTTAAGGGTGCCAAATAAAGCTGTAAAGCTTTAGAATAGCATTCAGTGGAAAGTGCTACAAATAAATTTCAATAAAATTGAAAATGTTTTCAGGTTTATACTGTACATCTGCCATTTCCCCTCTAATATGGAAAACTGCAATTTCAAAGTAAATGTTTTCCAGATAATATTCTAATGATTTGCTTTGGCTTTAGCTAAAATATAAAAAAAAATCATTTTAATTTTGTATAAGGTGCATGTTGTACAATGTGTAAACCACATATGAACCAGACATCATACATAAACGTTGAAGTAAGTTAGAAGACCTTAGTAAGCGCGCGCGCGTGTGTGTGTGTGTGTGGTCTCTCACCAACAGGTTTCAATGGACACCTACCATCTTCAGGGCATCATTTGGAGAAGCACATACTCAAAAGATTTTGATTTATATCTCAGCTGTTTCTTTTGCAGCCTGTACATAGTGGGATGGAGGGGTGTAGAAATCGTTAGTCATACCTGTCAAAGGGAGGATGATATTTATTGCACAAATTAAAAGAAAATAGTATCAACTTACAGCACCCTTTGGGCATCTCTACACCTGTCTTAATTGTTTACCGCTCCATTTGACCTCTCTTCATTTCTGCCTCTCATTGCCCTGCAGACAAATGACATCAGCAAATGTTACGGTTATCTTTTGCATCAGAGATCATAGTTTGCCAACACTTTTCCAGTAAATCTGTCCTGCAGAGGCGTCTTTACACATCTGTGTGTTCCTGCTCTTTTAGGGTAATATTGAGAAGTGAGGTGAAGTTCACCAGTGATGTTTAATGTAATGTGTAGGATTGTAGGCTGCATTAAGCCTAAAGTTTGTTGTGTATTCTACATTTTGGCAAATGGAAGTCATAATAATAATAATAATAGTAAGAGTAGTATGCTATTCCACTTTCCTTGTTACAGTGTAATTATACATTTAAAGGAATGGTTCACCCAAATGAAAAAAATGCCAAAAATCTACTCTCCCTCAGGTCATCCAAGATGTAGATGAGTTTGTTTCTTCATCAGTGCAGATTTGGAGAAACTTAGTATTACATCACTTGCTCACCAATGGATCCTCTGCAGTGAATGGGTGCCGTCATATTGAGAGTTCAAACAGCTGATAAAAACATCACAATAATCCAGTAATCCACACGACTCCAGTCCATGAATTAATGTTTTGTGAAGTGAAAAGCTGAGTGTTTGTAATTAACAAATTCATCATTACAATGTTTTTAACTTTAAACCATTGCTTCTGGCCAAAATATGATTCCTCTATCCATAATATTACTTTCTCCAGTGAAAAAGTTGTCTCATCTGAATCAGGAGAGTAATATGCACAGATAAAGCAGTGAGAGGACAACAGGGGATGGACGTTTAGAAGCTTTCACTTTACAAGACATTAATTGTTGGACTGGAGTCGTGTGGATTACTTTTTGAACAGCGGTCTGGACTCTCATTCTGACGGCACCCATTCACTGCAGAGGATCCATTGGTGAGCAAATAATGCAATGCTACATTTCACCAACTCCGTTCTGATGAAGAAACTAATTCATCTACATCTACATCACTAAATTTACAGCAAATTTTCATTTGAGTAATATTATTTAACAAAATGTACTTATAGTGTTAGGGTTAGAATTAGGGTTTGGTTTAAGGCTAGTCAGACAGTTTTTCTATAGTAAGTACATGTAACATGTTTAACAAGGACATTGTAAAAAACACTGTTACCGC